GCTCATATTTTCTCCACAGGCCACTGGGATGTACGATCACACTCTAATGCCCTGCATTTAGCCGGGGCGTTTAGTACTTTACCTCCCATTAGCGGTGTATTCTCTGCATAATCTCTGCGTAATCTTTTAATTTGCATCGTGATATGCTCTTAAACAGGAAAAGGCACAATAAAAAACATGTTTGTGATTGTCTAAGTGGTGCTTCTACTCAGGCTGAGTGAAACGCCAACAGCTTGAGCTGTTTCAGTTTTATCAAATGCTCATGGGGACATCTAGTGTTGGCTGGCAAAAAGGGAAAAAGGAAATGTTTTTATAGATTCCCCTGCAGGATGATCATGCACTCTCCTTTAAAACTGTAATTACAGCTAATGTGGGAGTGCTAAATCCTCATCCAAAACAAAAAGGACACAGATTCTGCCGGCAAGATGAAGAGGGAAGTTTCCAGTTTGAACAGCCTGGGCTCATTCGCATAAAAAAGGCAATTTGTTGTTTATTTGAGAAAGAATAGAGATATGATAATTTGACTAACAGTAAGAGATCACTTTGTGGAGAGATGAGATGCATGGGCAGATTATGAGACAGTGGGTCCCTGGGTACTAATATGCAAAAGGCCTTTACGCCTGTCGTACATAGCAGCAAGACAACTCAGTCTTTGTGGTGGTTTTGCCTCTTTTTTTGTGGTCATTTTGTGTCCCTTTGCAGTTCCTTTGCATTTTATTTGCAGTGTGCTAGAGTCTCTTCCTGGTCAGTACATGTTCATGTGAGTGACACTTTGCAGATAAAGGCCAGGGGGGCCCTGACACTTTTGGCCCCTGGGTCTATGCCCGGTAGGCCTGCTCAGTAATCCATCCATGATAAGCTGTGGTATATGGATGCTGTTTTTTTCTGTCTTTTAAATCAGTGATTCAGAGTGTCTCGCTGCACTGCAGTTTGGCTCAGCTCAGCAGCCTATCTGAAACCTAAAACTAGACTTTATAATCAAGTCCAAATTCGTGCAAAGATTATGGGCCAACCTGTGACAACGAGAGCATGCTCAGACTTGCGAACAGTGTCTCTTCTGCCTCCTCACATTTTTGAAACTGAGAAAATAAACATCTGGCCCCCAATACATGATTTAAAGGGTTAGTTTGGGATTTTTGAAGTGGGGTCGTATGAGGTTCTTATCTATAGTCAGTGTATTACCCTCAGTGATGATGGTCAACACGCCCCCAGTTTGGAGGAGCTGGCAGGAGTCCCACCAGGGAAGCTCAGCATTACATTGCTGTGTACGGGACTGCAAAAATAAATAAGTATATGAATAAATAAAATTTTAAAAAAACCCTACATAATAGAAAGGTTGCATAAAAGGATCCTCTATATCAAGTAAAGCCTATCACCCTCATAACGTTTGTATTGACTCATATTCTATTTCAGTCCATTTCCAAATGATGGCTATGGAAAAGGGGATAAAATAAAGCCACATACAACCAGAGAGGTGGAGATAAAGGCTAAAACGGAATGAAATAGAGTAAATAAAATGCTTGCAGCAGGTTGGCTTCACAAATTGCATGTGACAATGCAATATCTAGACAAAGAAGAGAACACAGAGGAGAAAAAGAGAAAACTCAATAAATAAAAAGTAAAGGATGTTCCTTCAAGAAATTTTCTTAATAAAGTCGGGTCTCAGAGGTTTAACATATTGCACCTATTTTTCCCAGAGTTGAAAATGAAAATAATCCATCTTTAGTTGTACAGAGAAAGTGACCTTTTCCATCATGTAAATCTCCATTGTCACATCTATCCAGTCATTTACTGTAGGACCAAAGTGCATCATCCATTTTCAGGTCAAAGCATTACTACCTGCTGCCAGCAATATAACCATCAAGTGTTTGCCAATACCTTTCACTTCAGGGGGGATATATCCTAAATATATAAGTGGACGCTATATTGAGGATTCTTTCACCGTTTTACCTCACCGTCAGACAGCTCTTTTCCTTGGTGCCACATTTTCTCCAGCGTTAAACTGTATTATTACACCACAGCTGCCACGCATTGTTTTACTCTGCAGCTCAGCTGCTTGGGTCAGACTGTCAGCAGTTTATGGAAGAGATGACAAAAACAAGTCAAAATGAGTGATTATGGCAGCGATGACAAGAGGAAACCTTTATTAACCAGAGCATTCAGAAGGAGGGAGATTGAACAGGCTAAGAGTTCAAATAAACACAAGAAATTTGTGCTCTAGAGAAAGGATCAGTGCTCAGTGAATAACCTCCTAAGCCCTATGATAAGCTATTATGGCAAGGCTTAACTATACAGACCAGTGAGCAGTGAACACATCTTTGGGGTCATCAGGTGGGAACCTCCTTTCACCTGTGTTTCATCTAGTTGGTCGCATGACACCTCCAGGAGGCTAGACAGTGATCTCTGGCGTCCCAGAGACACTCCTCTAATGCCAGCTCTCACTGCTCCCTGCACCAACCCAACAACCTCCTTTACCTTACTTACACATGGCTTTCTCAGCCCAAACAGCACTGCCACCCTCAACAAACCCAGGCTCCATTTATGCGAGCTCCAGGTAGAGACAGTGCCGATACTACCTTTCCTAGCACATTCACCATACCATATTTCACACACTATATATCATAACTCCAGTATAAGCTAAAGAAGATAGAGAAGATAAACTCACAGTCTTTCTCAGCCCAAACAGCACTGCCACCTTCAACAAACCCAGGCTCTGTTTATGTGAGCTCCAGGTACTGACCGTGCCGATACTACCTTTCCTAGCACATTCACCATACCCTATTTCAAATGCTACATATCATAACTCCAATATAAGCTAAACCTTAACCTAATCTAAATGCCCTACTCATGAACTTTGAAGCCTCTATGTGTCTTTAAAATGGGCGGTTGCTAGTAAGTGGCTAAATGAGACTACAGAGACGTGCTGAACACCACCTTACACTCTTGTTACGGTGGTGCAACTATAGTGTAGTTTGTTTTACAGCCTAACATTAGATTTTAACTCCTGGCGATTGCATTTAGGCTTCAGTGATCACGAAAATGGTGTTCATTTGTGAAGATTATCTTCCTGGACAAAACATGTTTCTTAGGTTATGTTTTTTGATTTCATTCATTCATGTTGTTTCCTGTTTTACTTTGAAACTCACATCTCCTCTCGTCTCAGATCACTTCACTCCCTGCTCCTTTGTTTTTCCCCTCCCTTCTGATGACTCCACCTGTGTCTGATTGTCTGTCCCGCCCTGATTAGCCTCACCTGTGACTCGTTATCCTTTCACTCACCAGGGTATTTAAGTGTGTGTCATGTAGCTCCTTGTGTGTCTAGCGTTTATTTTTATTTCCCTGTGTCCTTTTCTTGGTTTTTTGGATTAAGCCTGTTGATTGACTCTGCCTCTGCCTCATCCCTGTTGGATTTGTTTGCCTCCATTGATAGACCCTCTGTGTATTGAACCTACCTTTTGACCAGTAAAGACTGTGCTATTTTTTTTTAAAGATTATTTTTATTGGCTTTTTGCCTTTATTGACAGGATAGAGGGTGAAATGGGGAGACAGAGAGAGAGTGGGGACTGACATGCAGCAAAAGGCCGCGCGGATTCGAACTCGTGGCCGCTGCAGCGAGGCAATGCCTCTGTACATGGGGCGCTGGCACTATCCACTACACTACCGACGCCCCAAGACTGTGTTATTTTACCTGAACTGTCTCCAGAGTTGTGAGATTGAGTCCACTCTCACTTGGTCCACCAGTTGTTACAAATCCCATTTTTTGACAAGAGAACCAGTGCGATGCCAGCTTCCACGTCAGCCCTGGAGCACTCTATGAAGTTGTCTTATATGGTCTCGTATCATATGTTGCCACTACATATTGAAGTGTGGCTGAAGATGAATGATGTGGGAAATGATATTAATATTGTTCTCTGTTGTCCTTTATGTTGTGATTTGTAGTTTGTGGTGCTGTTGAACTGTATTGCATTACGCAGAGTGGCATTTCTGTAATTCAGCATTACCTCATGATATAAATGGGTTGCAAAAAGTAATAGAAACACCTCCCAGTATAATGCAATATAGGTCAACCGCACCGCAAACTGCATCCTCCAGAGGGATCACACCATTTAATCAATGCCTCTCTAAAACAGTTTCAACAAACCTGAATATCATAACCTTTATGAACGTAGGATTTATTGCAGGACTGTTGTATTGGACTGCATTAGTTTTAGCTACCTAATGAACTGTTTACTACGCATATATCTCAGCAGCGGGGCCATCCAGCTCCCTCTCTATCTTGTTCCTGTTATCTGTCTCTTTCCTCCCCTTCTGCTCCGTGCTTCCCACTGCTTTGATTAGCTCCCCATTAAGAAACCACTCCAAGCCACTCAGCCACCCAACACATTTACAAGTCATAAAGCATTGCAATCAACAAACTCGCACCAGGCCGAAATTCTCCAATCGCCCATTTGGAGCACGCCACAATGAAAACAAAGGAATTCAAATGGCAACAAAGTGGTCCTTGACACAGCTCGGGGATGAATGGAAAAGCTGCCGAGGATTTATGTCTCAAAAGCATCAAAGTCTATGAGAGAGAGGCCCCAGGGAGAGGGTTGGAGCTACAGTATGTCCTCTGACAAGATTGAAGGGAATCAGTCCAAACAATTTCTTTGGATGGCGCTGGCTGTCACAGCTGGAGACCAAAACAATGACAACATTTGCCAGTGGTAAATAAAGGGACTGCAGCTAACTGATTTTTTACAGGGTCAAATCAACAGCTATAGAAAATGACAGGAAACAAACGCAAAAAAATGAACATCAAAAATGTGTTCACCTCAGATCTGCTATTGTTTGAAGCAGGAAACAATGTTTGGTTCATTGAAACATGATGTCAGAGCAGAAGGAGATTGATTTCAGCTCACTGACTGAGCGGGAGAGGACTTTTTATTAAGAAGAAAACAATATGTGACAAATATGCTGAAGCAGGGTTCCCTGTCTTTGTTTTCTTTCTCTCTTCACAGAATACAGGAATCACCAGGGGGCTCTCTCCATAGTAGAGCAGGCAAAGAGGTGACTCCCCCACTCTTTCTCAACTTCCCTGGCTCTGTTGCTCCCTTCAGCAAACAACGGACAAACCCTCATTTCTCCGATCATTCCCCCCACCTTCCTTCCTTCCCTGACCCTATATCCCCTCATCCCTACATCCCTCGACCCTCTTCCCTTCATCCCTACTTCCATTGAACCTCATCTCCATCATGCATCAAACGTAATAAACTAATTGCAATCCATAACTCTATTGGTGTGGTCTTTGTTAGTGGAATCACAGATATCTCTTCAAGCTACAAAGAAAATAAATACAATAAAACAAGTGCTGCTTCCATCATGTGTAACTTATTAAAGAAAACATGACAAATTCAGGTCTTCATTGAGGCCTTCTAGAGCAGTGAGTTGATCATCTCCACATCTCTAAGAGAGGTAGACATTTTTTTTTCCATTACCCAGAACTTTAATCTAGGTAGGATTTCTTTCCTGAAGTTCAGTCCCCCAAAAGATACAGGATGTATCTGTAGAAAAGACTGTAGAAAAAAAGTGAAGTAGCAACTGTGACATCACCCATTGGTTTTGTGGAGCCAGAAGTGACCATATTTGGACGAGAAGGTGGAGCTGTGGAGGAGCGATGGGTGGCTCTGACTGAGAACCCGAAGCTAAATTAGCAGCTAACGCTAAAGCACGCTAAAGCTGGCTTGATTAGCAAGGCAGACCAGTAATTCACATTAACCCTGATATTAATTGGGAGGCTAATTTTGTTTAGCCAAAAAGCAGGTTTAACACAAAACCACAAGCAGCCAACTCATTGGAAGAGATATATTCAACTTGCTTTGCCCGGGGGCCGCTTCTGCAAAATGCCAGGAGGCCAGGGGCCAGCTAATAAGCAAGCATTAATCACTGATATATAAATAATTAGCCTGGACCTCTGTCAGGGGTCCATTTTCTTTTAAATAAACAAACTCTTTTTGGATGCCTTTTCTACTCTGGGACCTTATTTACATTTAAAGTACAAAAAAATCCCAGTTTGAATCAATTTGTTTTCATTGTGGCCAGATTTGGCCCCTGGCCTGTAAGTTGAGTGTCTCTGCCTCAGAGTCTTTTAACCAAACATAGAACAAGGCATTTTTAGGCCAGCAAAATGTTAACTTTCATGAACTGAAAACACACTAAAAGCATCAAAGTTCTGAGGCACAGACACCCAAAAACAAGTTTACTGCTATTTAAATGTTCACAGTGCCGGGGATACGAAATGCTACGCCTCGCAGTGGTAACAGTGGTTTTTATCAAAACAGATATATTTCTTTTTAAATCACGGTATTTGGCATTGAACACGTTTGAAAGTGTAACTTATAAGGTTTCTATCAGTATTTTTTCATGCTTGTAAATTACATTTTTATCCAAATCCTGCAGCGCTCCGCCAGCAAATCGTGCACAAAGAATCTGAAGGATCCTTGATATTGGAACAGTCATTCGGCAGGATTCAATGATGTAGCCTCCTTGAAATGTAGCCATTTAAGGATCCTTCTTTGACTTTGAAGCGCATCTAGTGTCATCCTTGCGTTTGACCATGTCATTAAGCTAGTTTGATGTCTCTGTCAAGTAGCTGTCTATTTGTCACTCATTCTACAACAGGAAACAGCACTTCAAAATAAAAGCTCTGTGCTGGAAAGTCACTGTACTTAAAAATAAAGTGTGTTTTTTTACAAACTTCTGCAAGTCACTTGTGGTCTATTCAGAATGGACCCACGAGCAACTTTTGTACCACGACCCACATGTTGAGAACCACTGCTGTAGAAGATTATCAGCCAGGTTACTCTAAAGACATTGATCTTACCAGAGGTAGCCACTTGACAAACCTGTTGGTAACAAACTGGGAGACATTTGAATAATTTCCTCTCACTGATGATGTGTAGATTTTCATTTTACTCCTCTGTGCCAAGCATAGAACTCATATATCCTGTTGGATTTGGGTGTGCAAACATGCTACTTGTGAGAAGTCACAGTTTGAAACAAAGCTCCCACAGTTGTCAACAGAAACTCCGTCCTTTTCTACTCAGAGTCATATCTCTCTATTGTAACTCCTTAAACCAAATATACAGCAGGTTCATGTTCTACAGCTGAGTTTGTTTCTGCCAGCAGTACGTACAAACTCTATAGCTATTTGCAATACATTTATCCAATATTTAACCTGCATAAGCACCGTAGACGAGGCATGTTTATGGCCCTGGAGCTCAATATCTGTATCATAAAAAAACAATGGTATCACTCAGACAAATGATAACCTTTCTCTGGAGCCTGCAAAACAGTTTGAATGAAAGCAATCTGATTTTTAGAAACACCACAGTCTTTGTGGTGGATGGAGTCAAAGTACAATATAGTTCAGCGAGTAATGTATGCATTAAAATGTATGAGTAATGGCCTTTTTCATAGCTACAGGATTTATATACAGTATAAATCCCCTCTGAAGGCGGCAGTGTGCTCAAACATGCGGAGAATACCTTTATAAAAGATAACAGCGCTCAGCCACTTACAAACAGAACTGTGATTATGTATTTTCATGGGTCATTTCGAAAACAAATAAAGTGCTGCACAACCGAGATAAATGCACATAATCAACATTATACAACAAAATAAAGAGGACAGTGCAGTCATGACAAAGACATCACAAAGTATGAGGGTAAAAGAACACTCATTATGATTATTATGGGAAAGGTGAGGGAGGTTAAAACAAGCCAGCAGAGTGGAATATTACTAGAAAATGAAATGACTTCAGGAAAGTGAATTTATAAAATGAGACTGCAGGATTTGTTTGAAAGCCTGAGCTTCTTTGACAACATTTTATAAAGGTTAAGCTTGGTGTTTGGTCTCCTTCAGGTTTAAGTGCAGGTTTTTACTGGATTTACGGGAGCCAAACTTGAGGTGGATACATGCCAGTCATGTAAGGAACAGTTTAATGTTTGTGGACTTGCTGATTCTGCTTTTCTTTTCTCAAGCAGATAATGTCACCTGGAGACCTTAAATCTGTAAGGCTCTGTCTGCAGCCCACAATTCAATTAGGAGTTGGAACAATCTAAAACAACCCTCAGGAACATAAAAAACTGAGATTCATGCCTCCATGAATATAGATTTGATATTTGATGATCAGTTACCTGAGCATAGAGAGCATATTCAAGTGAAAGGCACATTTCAGTCTGTACTGATGTCTTTGTATTCATCATTTTAAAAACTCTGATCAGACAGGAAGACTTTGGCCTACCAATCAAGCTCCTCTTTAGTCCAACAGAGGTGTTAAAATGGATTAGATGACTACCCGAATGAGAAAATTGTCACTCGTAGTGATGAAGCCACAGAGAAATATCACCTGACGCTGCTTTGAAGAACTTTCTAGCAACTTTTAGCTCATTGTTTGGTTTTGTGGCCCACGGTTTTACTGCTTTAACTCATACTAACTGCCCTCATATTGCTGTTTACAGCTGCATCAGGCAAAATGCTCTGATAAACCAACTGTAGTTTGCAGCTGATGAACCAAATATTTGCCTCAGGAGTTGGTAGAGATTACAGACTGTAGATGATGGATGACGTGTCACCACTTCCTCCCACTGTGCAAAATATTACAGATACAGCCATCTTGTGCTGGTGATGTCATTTGGAGCCACCATAGTAGTGACCTCCCTGGTATCCTGCTCTTGCTCATTTACCTGTCCAACCTATCGCCAGCAGTGCTATTGATAGGCATGTACAGCTGTCAGTCATTATGTCAATCCCCCTTTTTTTAGCATCAAATTCCGGATTCAAACCAAACTACATTTGTACACATTAGCGCGATACGAACCACCTAAACTGACAGAAAGCAAAATTTAAGACTTAATTTCACTTGTGCTTTGAGTTTAGTTTGACCCATGTCTCATCTGCCAACATGGAGGGGTTGGCTTTATTACCTGTACTGCAGCCAGCCACTAGGGGGCAATCAAGAGACCTCTACAAGTTCAAACTGAGTTAAAATACATATAATAAATACATAAATCATTGCCTGAAGGGCATTTCAATGACTGTATTTCAGAGTGTAGTCAGGAACTGCTTCACATTGGGATACACACATCTAAATGATAAAAAAGTGTTTACAGGTAACATAAATATATAGAAACGTTTGACCTATAAACTACAGATTTATGATTTCCACTAAATCCCGGATATGTGAGAGGCCTTGAAATTTCTTTGCAGTTAATACTGACAGCTGTTGTCTCGACATCACACCTTACATCTAAAATCATACTCAAGTCAAGAGGCTTGAGGAATAAAATAAGGTGGGAGAGATACTTACTGCTGTCACATTTCAGACCGAGATAAAAAAAAGATGAAAAAGACTGTCTTATTTCAGGGACAGAAGCTGGACTCTCATTTCCTCTTCGCAGTCACTGAAAAGTGTAGATGATGTGGAATCCAGTCTCGCTCAGACATATTGTCACTGTGAAAAAATCCCTCCTTCAAAAGTGTCTGGGAATGTATAAGTGATGAAGATGTGGAAGAGATACCAACTTCACCAAAAATATTTACATTTCAAAGGCAAACACTCCACACTTTATGGTGTAAGTTTGCAGTATCCAGTGGGTCAGCCAAAACTTTGCATCCCTGGTGTTGATTAAGCTCCTTGCTCAAGGTTATCTTTGCAGCAACTGTTGAGAGAATGGAGACAGATTTAGAGCTGGAAATATCATCACACAAAAAAACAAAAATGCCACCAACTGCAAGTGGTGGGTTACCAGCACACTGAAAGTTTTGTTAAGAGCCACTGCATTGTGTTTCTACACTGTAAGGGAACACTAGGGGGAACTTTATCATGTTTTATTCACCATAGGAGCATCCAATACAACACTTTGCTGCTTTTCTTCTCTGAACATGGGCGATTACCCGCCTGCCTTAAGTCCACCAGTGGTCTGAATGTTATGGCAGTCTAACTAGTGACTTTTTAAATATTTCAAGCAAAGTGGTGGACTGACCACGCGACAGACAGAGCAAGACTAGCTTTTTTAAAGGAGCAGTTCAACCCAAAATCAAAAGTACATATTTTTCCTCTTACCTGTAGAGCTATTAACCAATCTAGATTGTTTTGGTGCGAGTTGCCAAGTGTCTGCCTTCTCTCAAATATTATAGAACTAGATGACACTCGTGGTGCTTAAAATGCCAAGAAAAAAGACATTTGAAAAACTCAACAGCAATGTCTCTTTCCAGA